ATGTGCATGCTGTTTTGATGTGAACTGATGGTAGGCCCAGTCTTTTTCCTCCCATTTCTCTTCCCAGCTGTTTTTTCAAAACTGTGCAAGACTTTATACTGATCTTACTTAGTTTTATCTGTCCAGCCCTCTGAGGTCATTTTGAATTCTGATTCTGTCAGCCCAGACATTTACTATATCCCTTCTCTGTTCACCTCTTTAATAAGCCCAAACTCCCTTAATTTGTAGACTTTCGTGAACAGATGGGACAGTATGCAGTTGAATATGAGAAATGAGCCATAATCAATGCCCCTTGCCTAAGTCATCTGCGAGTTCCATACCCACCTCCTAATCCCCAGAGACTAGAGGCTTTCAGGTACTTGGCTTAAATTCATACTGTATTTCTCCATCTGGCAGTGGTTGGGCAATGTCAGTGAGCAGAATATAGAAACTGCTCAGAAGCCCTCTTTCCCCACTGTCTTCCTTCCCTTCCAGACTCCTTTCCACTCAAGTACACTGGGCTGGATGTGGTGGCTCATGCCTGTAATCTCAGTGCTTTGGGAGGCCGAGGTGGTAGGATCACTTGAGGCCAGGAGTTTGAGGTTGCAGTGAGCTATGATGGTGCCACTGCACTCCAGCCAGCACAACAGAACAAGACCCTTGGGTTATTGTTCGGTTGTCCTTTTGTGTTTTCTGAACTGAGCATGGATTTATTATTGCAATGATAATAATCCTGGGCATATATGTTACATATACTTTCCAAATCACTGTCACATTTATTGCCCTAAAAGGCGTAGCAGCTCAGACAATGACTTGGCTAGTCAGAAGTCAACAGCAAGGCCACAGGTTGAACCTGGTGTTTCGACTCCCCATTCAGAGCTCGGTGAAGCAGAGTGGTGGTGGTGGGATTATTTGGCATCTCTGGGCTAGGAGGAAGAGAGAATCGACCTGAAGCCTGCGGGTAACTGCAGGATGCCTGGCCAGGTCCCTCCAGTCCTCCTGAAAGTTCGGGGACCAACAGAACAGCCATGACATTGGACCCTGAGACTAAATTTTCCTAAGAGAAAATGTGATAATTTCTAAAAGTCCCATCTATCTTTAACAACTCCAGAAATCTCTGAATATGAACCAGGCTCTATCTCCCCTCACTCCTCTTTCCAACCCAACTAGAAAATGTGGGTGGGTTGAGAAAGAATAAGAAAAGAAAGATCAAAACTGTGACAACCCTCTGACAACATTTTAACTTGAAAATTGCCTCCAAATGGATGGCATAATTCTGTGTAGGCAGATGTAAATCAGGTGCAGATTTACTCAGATCTTCTTTGTTCTTATTTCCTAACAAACACCCGGAAGAGATGGGGCCCTGAGCTGCCCGCTGGCCTTTGATAGGCTAACTGGACTTGGTCTGCTCTGCAGAGCCCATTTGAACTCCTCAGTTGGGTGTGACTGTTTCCCCCTGCAGACCCCCGGAGCTTGTGTCTTCCTCTCGCCCTCTCCAGACCATTTCTAGCTCATTCTCCTCAGTTGATTGTTGCCTCCCTGTGCACCCCACCCCCCAGGCTCATAGTGCATCAGCGGGTCCTTGCTCATTAAGTGGCTGGGAGAGGGACAGAGAGCTAGGAGAGAGGGCTCAGGTCCTACAGCACTATCTGAGGTCTTAGCTGATCATTAGATGCCAGCCCAGATGGCTGATTGTACAACATCCCACCTTCCAAAAAACAAAAACGCTTCCTTGGGCAAAGCAAAGAAGTGTGAGTGGTTCCTTGGAAAGCCTTTCCCACTGGTGGGAAAAAAATCCCTTCCCCAGAGGACCCTGGGTTGGTTACACCTGTCACCTGCCCAGCCTCGTGCTGACTCTCCAGCCTGGCCTCTTTCTGGGCCCAGCCCCTCTCCAAGGGAGGCAATGGAATTTGTTAGGAAGTTCTGCTGAGCTTCTCCTTCTCCTCTGGAAAAAGAAAGGGTTGAGCCAGAGGGTCTAAAAAGGTGCTTCTGGCACCTAGGCTCTGTGTTCCCTGTGTCTGTCCCCCTCCTTTGAGGCTGTGTGAGTCATCTGACATTCTCCCACCCCCTCTCCTGGCTCTGCAGCCTGACAGGGGCTGTCCTAACAATGACAGTGACTGCTAATGATGAGTGACAGCTGCAGTGAGGGGGCACCTTGGGACAGAGAGGGCATGGGTGTGGGAGGTACAAGAGGTGGTGGTGATCTCATACCTTACAGAGAAGGAAAAGGCCAGGGAGAGAGCCACTCGCCTCACAGCACACCTCAGTCTCCCCAAGTTCTGGCCCCTCTAAGGTCATCTCTCCCATCAGCAGAGGGGCAGTGCCTGGTGTGCCCAGGCAGCAGCTGTCCGGCACAGGCGCTCAGGGAGAGGGTGTCCATCCACCTTGGTGAACCGAGCCTGTAGCAGTGGCTGTGTCAGGGAACCGCAGGGCGTGGCAGGATAGGAGCAGCATGCTAGGCACAGAGTACTGTCCTGACCCACCTTCCCTGTGGTCCCAGGATCAGGGGCAGGCTGCACAGAACCTTGCCCACTCCCTGAGCAGTTGGGTTCCCCCAGGTTCCTGTTTCCCCACCACAGATGGAAAGAAGGCCAGCCTTCCATTTCTGGGATACCGAGTCTCGGGAGATCCAGGGGGCATAGGCAGCTCAGCTCATTTCCTCTCACTCCCAGGCAGCCTGCGTTTGCTGCCCTGCTGTGGCTTGCCACCCCTGGTCCGCACACAGAACTGTGGCTCTATCCATCTTCCTCAGTTGCTGCCCAGAGGAATGGGCCTTAATATAAACAAGCAGAGCTTCAAGGCAGGGATTTGGGAGGGGTGGCTAATGGAAGAGGTGACAGGGGAGCCCTCCAGAAGGCCTGTCTCTCATGAGGGCCAGTGATGAGCCAAGACCCAGCCTGAGCCAGGCCTCTGCTCTCCGGCTTCCCTGTGGCCCTGGCCATGCCTGCTGTAGAGAGGGGCTGGGGCTGCCAAGGACATGGGTCTGTGATAGGACCCTCATGCTTGGGACAGGCCTGAATGAGGCATTCCATCCACCCCTAGCCCTTTGGGAAGAGCAGGGAGGGGGCAAAGGGGCCCTTAGAGCTGCAGAGCTTGGAGCAGACCAGGCCACAGCCCCCAGCAGTGTGGATCAGGGCAGAGCCTGCACCCTTTAGGGCTAGGCGGTTTCTTAGTCCCTTCCCCAGGCTTCACATCTCCCTGGTGTTGCTGCTCACTCCCTGCTGTTGAAGTGACCTCTGCCCACAAGCACGTTCACGTGTGCACGTGTGTACTGTTTTATAGTCAGAAGGATAGCACATGTATGTGTTCATGTCTGTGCACACGTGCTTACACTTAGGCTTGTTCTCAGTGGGAATCCACATGAAATGCATGTGGACATGGGACACTAGGGCCCTGGGGACCTGAGAAGGCCTGGGCACCAGAGTTGGCCGGGGAGGACTTGGGCACACTCGTGAGCCCTCGACCTGCCCTCCCAACCCCAAAGCCTGTACCTAGGTAGCCCAGACCCATAGCCTGGTTCCCAAGAGGTCTCACAAAAGGCTGGAGAGGCAAGGTTTCTTTCTTCCCCCTTTGCAGTTTTCTTTCTGGCCTCTCTCCACCAAGCGATGGTGAGGACTGACAGCATCTGCACTTACGGCCTTCTCAGGCACGATCCAGACTGCTCATCCACCCTCAGTGCACAGGCAGCGCAGATCCCTGGAGGGAGCAAGCTGGGGTGGACAAGGAGTGGCCTCGGTGCATTTTTATCAGTGGTTCTTAACCCTGGCTGTTCATAAGAACCCCAGGAAATTACTGCTACTCGGGTCCACGCAGGCCAGTTCATCCAGTGTCTCTGGGGCAAGGGGCTCCGGCTTCAGTATTTACCCAAGCTTCCTAAGTGTTTCTTCGGTGCAGCCAGCCTGGAGGACCTCTAATGCAACCGCGAGATACTGAAACAATTCTGTGCTGGTTTAGGGATAGTTACACGTGCACCCGTGTAGTAGAAAGTATAAAGATGTGCAATGGAAAGAAATGAAATTCAGGAAAGTGGTTGTTTCTGGACACAGGAAGCAGGGTAGGGATGTGGGGAGGGGTCAGATGCATTCTCTGTAATGTTCCATTTCTTAAGCAGAGTGGTGGGGACATATTTTGTACTGTTTGTTTGCTTGAAATAGTTCATCATAGGTTCATAGGGGGAAAAAAGGGCATAGATTTTGCAGTCATACAGACCTGGGTTTTAAGTTCACTTCTGCCACTTACTAGCTGTGTGACTGGGACAGGGACTTCACCTCTCTGAGCTTGTTAATCATCTGTAAAACAGGGCTTCCAGGGCTGTGTGATCGCCCCTGAAGTTCTAACACTTCTTCCCGGGTCCCAGCCTGAATGAGATCAAACTGGGACAATCACAGCTCCCTGTCAACCCCAGTCAGGAGCAGGTTGCAAATTGCCCCAGCCCTCACACCTCTCTGGCACATAAGGATGGCACCAACTTCTCAGGCAGGAGGCCCCAGAGGCAGGTGTCAGCACAAAACAAATCCCTTCCTTATAGGCTTCTTTTGCTGGGAACTGGGGGAGGGAGACTCCAGGGGAAGGCAGTCTGGCCCCGTCCAGTTCTGCTGCCAGATGCCTCTGCAGCCTTTCAGCTGGGGGGGTAGAGCCGGGCAGGATTTAGGGGTACAGCTCTGAGAAGGTAACATACGAAGAGATCTTTCCCTAAGGATGTCAGGAGGCAACGAGGAGGGAGAAGCCAGTTACCACACCATGAATGCTTGGGGCTGGAGGGTGAGTGGCTGGGAAGGATTCCACGTCCCACAGCCCTGTGGGCCCTCTCATAGGGACACAGGTCTGGGGGCTGGGCATGGTCATGCGGACTCTGGAGCAACCAGACAGCCTGTCGCCTCAAGGATAGGAGCCTGGGGAGGCCCCAGGGCAGGCAGGGTGTCTGTCTGCACGCGTTTGCATGCTCACACACCACACACACCCATGTGCATGCTTGAGGCCTGGCTATAGAGCAGGGAAAGGGACTCAGACACTGCTCTCACTGGACAAGCTTAAAACACAATGTGGCTCATTTTTATTTTATCTCAGAAAAACACATTCCCTTTAGAAGGAAAGGCAGTTAGGGCCTCTAACTGGGCAGCTCCGAGCTCCCCGCGCACATGCTCATGGCCTGCCAGCCCGGACCTCTCTCCTGGGGCCTGAGCTCATGTTCTGGCACTGCTCCGTTACAGCTCTCTGTCCTTGAGCTTTGTCACCCCAAGAGATGGCCCTGGGACTGACAAGTACATGGCAGCAGGAGAGGACTGCCTGGGACTCCCTGGGCAGAGATTCTGGTGCCAGGTTAGCAGCAGGACTGGCAACAGACCCAGCAGCCAGGGAAGGAAAGATAATAAAATAAAAGGGATTTCTTCACACTTACATCTTCTCCTGGAAAAAAACTGTCAAATACCACATCTGGGCCCAGTAGCTCCTGAACCCCAGGAGTCTAGGGAGGGTGACGTGTGCACAGCTGAGGGCCTGTGGGAGCCACTCCCCAGCCGCAGGGCCAGGCCAGTCTGCTGTGCCACAGCTGCTCTGTGGAGACAAGGTGGCATCTCTAGATGCTCTGGAATAGGGGACTGGGCCCTGCCCAGCCAAGATGCTGCTGGAGCTGTGGCCCGGCCTGGTGCAGGTGCTCACAGCATGAAACATCTGCTTCCTTGGACCCCAGCCCTTGTTGCTGGGCCTCATGCTGCTCCAGCCTGGGGCTCTCTCCTCTCAGTCCAAAGTGGGAACCGGCGCCCACAGGCTCTGCCGGCACACCCATTATCTTCTCCCAACGGGGCTGGTCCAGCCAACCAGGAAGATAAAGATTTCCTTTACTTCAGAAGGGGCAAACTCCATGGACCATCAGGACACTCCTGCTCCATCCTGGGCCAGGGGGTCCTCTAGGCCAGGGGACTCTGGGCACACGTCCTTGAGCTCGTGGCCAAGGAGCTCCACGTCAGAGAGACCCGTGTCCCTGTGGGACTCATGGGCACTCCCTCCACTGACCAGTCCCAGGGCGTAGCCATTGGGCCGCCGCTCAGGATGGGGAGCACTGCCATTGGCCCACACCCCTGGGGGGTGGCCATTGAGGCGGAGGCTGACCTGCTCTCCGTCACTGCCATGAGCTGCCAAGGTCCGGGCACTGGTGCCGGCTGCCTTGAAGGGTTCTCGCTGCCGCAGGACGTGGCTGCGGATGATCTTGCGGAAGGTCTGGCGGAACTCACGGATGCGGTAGGCATAGATGAAGGGATTCACAACGGAATTGGTGTGGGAGAGGATGATAGCCAGGTACATGAGCCAGAGAGGGGCGTGGCTGCACTCCGGGCAGAAGAAGGTGAAACAGTTGATGATGTGTAGGGGCAGCCAGCAGAGGGCGAAGAGCCCCACGATGATGGCCAGCGACTTGGCCGCGTGGACCTCCTTCTGCAGCGTGGACCGAGTGCGCTCCCCGGGCAGCGGCTGGCTCTCCATCTGCTTCAGCTGTCGCCGGGCTGCCAGGAAGATCCGCAAGTAGACACCCAGCATGAGCAGCAGGGGCACCAGTACACAAGCAAAAAAGTTGTAATATACCATGTAGTTCATGGGCACCACGTCCTCGAAGAGACAGGCCACTTGGCCGTCCCCGCAGCCCTGCGAGTGGTTTTTGCCCTCCTTCGGCTGACCGCAGTTGTTCCAGCCCAGCATGGGAGTCAGGCCGATGGCAAATGACAGCACCCAGCAGATGGCAATGATGCCTTTGGCCCTTGTGCCAGTCACCAAGCCATTGTACCTGAGGAGAAGAGACCAGGGTCAGAGATCTGAGAAACCAGGGTTAGGAAGGGCCAAGAGTTGAGAGACACAGAGAGTGGACCCAGCTCCCCCATTTACTGGCTGTAAAGTCTCGGACCAGTTGCTTCCTGCCTCCTCGGCCCTGTAACTTCTTGCGTTAAGTGGAGGTGGGAAGCCTGGCCTTTCTCGCAAGCTTCTGGGAGGTAACGGAAGAGTAGGCACCCTAGAGGTGGAAACCACTGTAAAAACGCCCAGATGATCATTAAATAGTTTTAGGAGTAGTCCTGGGACTTAAATAGTTTGGTTTGAGGGGGGAGAAAAGTATCACCTTCATGTTGGTTGATCTTTGTTGATGCTACAACATGTTTCCCTTCAGAGAGAGGGACGGGTCTGGGGGGTAGAACCAGCCAGATCAGACCTTCAGGCCTATCAGGCCTCATACTCCACGCCCTGCTCTTCCTCATTTGACCTGGGGTCTCAAGAGAGGTAGCACAAGGAGGTCTGGGAGGGGTGGAGGTCTCAAGCCAAGTGAGATACCATTGCTTCCCTCCAAATCCGCCCACAACCCTTTGGAGAAAAATGAGATAATGACATCTTAACATTTATATGGCGATCTTAACATTCAAGAGGAAATACTTGGATGAGGTACTGAGGTCCAGAGCACAGTAATCTGCCTCGGATCACTTGGTATTCCGGAGAACCTGCTGATTTCCAGTCCCAGATTCTAAGGGAGCCTTGATTTGCCAGCCAGAAAGCAGACCTAAGCCCCACAGGAAAGGTGGCATAGACTTTATAAAAGAATGGACAATCAGGCTGGGTGATATGGCTCACACCTGTAATCCTGGCACTCTGATGAGAGGTGGGAGGATCACTTGAGCTCAGGAGTTTGAAACCAGCCTGAGCAAGAACAAGACCGTGTCTCTAAAAAAATAGAAAACTTAGCCATGCATCGTGGTAGGTGCCTGTAGTCCCAGCTAGTTGGGAGGCTAAGGCAAGAGGATGGCTTGAGCCCAGGAGTTTGAGGTGGCAGTGAGCTAAGATGACACCACTGCACTCTACCCAGGGTGACAGAGTGAGACTCTGTCTCAAAAAAAAAAAAAAAAAAAAAAAAAAAAGACAATAAAAAAAAGTCTCAGGAAGGTATCCTCGATGATCATTGAGGGATGACCTTCTGTTTAACAGTTTTGATTCTGTCAAGACCATACTACCCTCCCCCCTACCTGGTGGAAACTCTACTATCCTTCAAAGTCGGGCTGGAGATTTTCTTGGAGAAGTTCCCTACCCAAGCACAGCAAATTGCTACTCATCCGGGTCCCTTGAGGGCAGGACTTTCCTGCATCCATCTCTTCATTGCCAGCTCTGAGATAGGGACACATGGTAGGTGCCAAGGAAAAATGTGCTCGACTTAATTCAGGGTTAGAAACATTCACAGAAATGATCTGGTCCATGGGGGGCAAATACAGGTGCCTACAGGTAACATCTGCAAGAGGCAGGGTGGTGGGGTGCTTATGCAGTCTGCACTGCCATGCAAAATACACCCCCACTGTTACCAGGTCTCAGGAGGGGCTGGAGACTTTCTGACTTTCTGCGTAAAGTTTCCCAAGATTTAACTTTCGTCAAGTAATTCAAATTAAGGGAAAAAAAATCCTGGTGGCTTCTGACCTCTTATCTAGTCTACCCCTCTCATTTTACAGGTAGGGAAGCTGAGGCCCAAGGACAGGAACGGACTTGCCATGGACATCCCAGGAGCCCAGAGGCAACTCGGACCAAGGTAAGTCCGTCCTTCTGAATCTCTTAGATCAACTCTGAATCCATACAGTAACCATGCAGGCCCATGCGCAGGGGCTCCTTATCTGCACCCAGCAGGGGCGTGGCCATCAGCAACAGGACCTCAGCAGGAGGAGGGTCACAGACTTGCCCATTTCTGCCAAGCACCAGAGAGCTGCCACTGCCCTGCCTCCTGTCCTGCAGCCACAAACATGAAGTCGCAGACCTTTTTTATTCCCCCATTAATACTTAACATACCATTTACTCTGTGCCAGGCACCAATTTTAGTGCTCTACAAAGAGTAATTTATATAATCCTCATTGAATGGGAGGCTATATTGATTTTGATATCTTTCCTGAGAAAAGCATATCCCTGCCTGTGTTCTGGACCTGGTGCGTTTCTATAAACAGGTCTTCTGAAACTTTTTTTCTGATCCTCAGTTTCCTCTTTTGTAAAACAGGTTTGAGTCCCGGACCTGTCAGCACTGCCCCCTAAGGGCAGAATGTAGAACCAATGGGTGGAATTACAGGGAGGCGGATTGCAGCTCAGGGTAGGTAAGAACTTTCCAGCTGAGCTGATCACAGGAGAAATGGGCTGCCCTTAACAGTAGTGAGCTTCCTGTTGTCTGAAGCAATCAAGCAGAAGCAAGCAGCCACAGGGCAGTACAGAGCTGCCTGGGCCCTGGGGCCACCTGCTTTGCTGGTTTTCAGATTGTTCTACAGCAGCACTTTCCTCCCCACCTTCCTAGGGAGTCACAGAGGCGGAGCGCTGGGGAAGAGAAGGGGCTTCATACGTGTTTATTGAATCAGTGAGTGGTGGGGACACCAGGGCCCAGCCTGAGGCTTCCAGGAACACAACATGGAAATCCCTGATCTGTCCAGTTGTCTACTTGGACAGACGACAGAACCCCACAAGGAGAGTCGCCACTGCACTCTGCACACACAGCCCCACACCAATGTTAACAGCACTGCCTGTACCTGCAAAGAACATCTCTGTACGGGTTCCCACCACTGCCCTCATGGAGGGAATGGCATGGAGGAAGGGGCTGGGGGGACAACTTGCCCCTATTCTATACTCCTGTTCCTATTGAATGTTTAGCGCATGCAAGTATTATTTATATTTTTAAAAGTACAAATAGATTAATTTTGTTATTCAAAAGAAAGCCACTTAGGCTGAGAGCCGTAGTGCCCAGGGGCCTGGAACAGCATCAGGGCCCAAATGGAACCATGGCAGAGCCTCCGCTAGGCCCAGCAGCATCCCCTGGGCCACTTCTGTGACTAACATGGTCCCATCTTGGCCTCCCAGACCCCAGACATAGACCTTCCCGCTGGAAGAGGTGCCAAAGCCATTAGCATGACATTTTGCCGTTCCAGGAAGCCCAGGGTCGTCAGAGGACGCCAGTGCCAGGTCTGCTGCCCACCCTCTCTGGGGGTGCCCTCTGGATCCCTGCATCCTCTAGCTGCCCTGTCCTGGGGCATCCCCATTACTCACATTGGGGCTCACCCTGTGGTCCAAGAATATGCCTGTGATCCTAGGTGGGAATCTATGTGCTTTTGTGCCACACGGAGGAGAAGGTGGGGCTTTCCTAACTTGTCCAAAGGAGTCTTAAAGAGCCACTGACCCACAGGGGAAACCCAAACTCCTTCCCCTGGCACGGCAGGCCTGAGTCAGCCTCCACCCTCCCTGCCCACTCTCTTCATCTCTTTCTGTCACTCAGCAGCCAGGTCACCTCTCCCTGGCCTAATGCCCACGTGCTCATTCTGTCCTTAGGGCCATTTCCCAGGCTTTGTCCCCTCCTGACACACCTGCCCCAATGCATGAAGATCCTGCCTATCCTGCAGGACCCATCAGGTGTCACCTCTTCCAGGGGGCCCTCTCTCCCAGTCCTGCCCTCCTTAGAAGTCGGGTCGATTCACCACATATGACTTCTGCCTTGGCACCAGCTGCTACCCTGCACCTTGGCCTGTTCCTCAACGAGTGAGGGCACCCACTGGGGCTGCCTGGAGAAGCAGGAGACAGTGGTGCAACATCCCCTGGGATAAGCAGCTGCGTCTCTTGTTCTGAGTCTTCTGTCCTCTGGGGACACAAAGAGCCACATCTCCGCCTCTGGCCCGGCTTTTCTCACGGACTTACTTGACTGGGCCCCGCCCCAGCCAGACATGTTCCCTGCACTTGGGAAAGTGTAGATAGATTTTTCTAGAATGGAATTCTTTAGAAAAATGTAATGGTGAGGGGTACAACCCTGGGGTTCGGCATCCAGGGTATTGATCAGAGACTCGACCTCAGAGTAGCCAGTGATCTTTCTCAGTGGAGCAGGAAACAGTGTAGCGGAGGCTGCACTCCCAGCTGTGACGGGGACAGAGGAGGGGCGGGAGGAGAGGGAGCCCGAGCCAGGCATGGACTCCAAGTCCCCCCTCACACCCAGCTTGCTCTCAGGAGCCCCCGCATGGACACGCCCACGTACCCAGCAGCCCGGGGCCTCAAGGAATAGGAGAGTGAAAGGACCAAAGGGCCAGGAACAGCGTGAAGGGCTCTGGGATCCATCCACATCAGGAGATGCTCCTGTGTCCTTCCCTGGCTCTGGCTTCCCTACGAGTAACAGGGGGGTCATAACACCCGCCTGGCCACATGGGCAGGAGATCAAAGGAGGCACTGTGCTAACAACCTTTGCAACTGTGAAGCTCTGCCCACAGGGGAGAGAGAAAACCCCCGGTATCCTCCCATCGGCTCCCTGTGGAGGAGACTGGCCTGAGCCTTCCAGAGCCTCACCAAGCACAGCTCAAACAGCCCATGGTCTGGATGGAACTGAGGTCCAGCTCCCAAAGGTTGTGGAAGTCAGGATGCAGATGGGTAGGGGAGGGGGCTGGGGGACAGCTCCATGGCTTCAAGCCTCTAGCAGCTCAAGAAACATCTGGGTCCCTACCCCATCTGCCCCACCAACCTTCTCAGGGTCCTCATCACTGTCATCAACTCACCGGGTCCTCATGACACCTTTGTGAGCTCAGAGAGACAGAGAGACTTATCCCATTTTATAGATGAGGAAATGGGCCCAGAGAGGGGCAGCTGGCTTTCCATAGCCACACAGCACATCCCATCCTCCTACATCAGGGATCCTGACTCTCAGAAAACCAAGAGGGGGCTCGGCATGGTGGCCGAGGCCTATAATCCTAGCACTCTGGGAGGTCAAGGCAGGAGGATCACTTGAGGTCAGGAGTTTGAGACCAGCCTGAGAAAGAGTGATACTCTGTCTCTACTAAAAATAGAAAAATTAGCCAGGCAACTAAAAATAGAAGAAAAAAAAAAAATTAGCCGGGTGTGGTGGCACAGCCTATAGTTCCAGCTACTCGGGAGGCTGAGGCAGGAGGATCACTTGAGCCCGAGAGTTTTGAGGTTGCTATGAGCTAGGCTGATGCCACAGCACCCTAGCCTAGGAAACACAGCAAAACTCAGTCTCAAAAAAAAAAAAAAAGAAAAGAAAAGAAAACCAAGAAAGAAAGGTAAAGACAAAGAAAAAAGAGGTGAGGTTCCTTAAATTGAGAACAGCAACCCTGATCCCTCCCTAGAAAGCTGCTCCTTTTGAATCAGAGAAGAAAGTGAAAGTGAGGCCTCTGCTTCCCCACGAGATGTTCCCACCTGCCCCCACCAGTGTCTGGGCTCCACCTGGGCCCTTAAAGTGGACTCTGGGCCTCTGTGTTCCGAGCTGTCACTGACACACCTAGACTCTGCTCTGCTCCCCTAGAGCAAGGGGGATGGAGGCTTGGGGACACAGGCTGTACCTGGAGTTAGACAACCTCTAATTCAGCCCCCGTAGGGCCAGCCAGGGTCCCCTTCTCCTTTGACAAGGGTTCTAGGCGCTCTCGGGGATACAGACATCCACAGGGCAGCGTGAAGCCCCAGCCCTCCCCTTCTTGCGAGCAGCTTAGTGTGGGCGCCTGCCTCCCCCTTAGAGCCCAGGAGATAGACACAATGGCTACTTGGTGCAGGTTCTGGGACCACTCCTCAGCAACTGAAGTCACAGTGGGTGGCAGGCCACATTCCTTCCCAAGCCTACTCTCAGCTCTGCTACCAACTCTTTGTGTGGCCCTGAGACAGCTGGCTTCCTTCTCTGAGCCTCATTTTTCCATCCAGAAGATGAGAGGAAATGACCTCTGAGGGGCCCCTTGGGTGTGATGCTCTAAGTTTCCATTTGCTCATTGAACCCAGTGCTCCTCTCTGCTGGGTCACCCTCAGCCTGGAGTGGGGCTGCTGGGGCCACCTGTTTGGGAGAATCCACCATGGGGAAAGCTACCCCAATCCTTGAGAGGTGCCACCTTGAGCCTTGTCCACGGCCTCAGGGCCCGCAACCACCCAGCCATGGAACCTGGCTCCGTGGTGGAGGGCTAGGAGACGGGGCAGGAGGCCCCTGGGCTTCCCAGGGGAGAGATGCACTTTCTAGCCTCATCTGTGCCCTGGGTAGGTGGAGGCCATACCAAGTAAACTCAGCCTCCGGGAAAATCTTCATTTACACAATACTTGGCTATAGTCACTTCATGAAAGATTCACCATAAAAACCCCCTTCAATAGGCAGCCTCTGTGCACACAGCCTGCCTCCAAGACCATGAGTCCTTGGTGACCTAAGGAGCAACAGAATTTGCATATAGGTCCAAGTGACTCACTGTGGCATTTGGCCAAGTCACTTCCCCTCTGTGGGTCATTTTCCTAATGTGCACACTGTAAGGCCCGCCCAGAGGCGCTGGGGGAAGGCGGGCACTGGGCAGGCGTCTGCTCTGAGGTCCTGTGGTTTCTCGCAGTTCCCACCCACTCTGGCATCATGCAGGCAGTTTTGCTCTTGTATGTGAAGAATGGCCCAGATGCGCTGCCCTCTCAGCCCGATGCCACGCTCATCTGTCAGCAGCCGGAGCACAGCTGGCCGCAGGCAGCCCAGGGTAGCCTGGGGTGGGGCAGGGCTCCCTGCCAGTGGGATCCATCCGATCAGCACGAGCGCTGGCCGCGTGCCAGCCCCGGGCAGCCCCTGCTCAGCCCCAAGGCCCTGTCCTCAGCTCCCCATGCTGACACGGCAGACCAGGCCCTGACCCTGGGCTCACCCCAGCCCCAGACACAGACCAGAGCCTGGCACAGGCAGCCTCTGCACGGACGTAAGCCCTGGCCCACTCACCGCAGTGGGATGCGGATGGCGATGTAGCGGTCAATGGCGATGGCCAGGAGGCTGAAGATGGAGCTCTGTGTGAGGACCAGGACAAAGCAGGCGATGAACAGGCAGCCGTGGCAGGCCGCGCAGAAACCGGTGCTGATAGTGATGGCGAAGGGGATGGCGAGCACGCCCACTGCGATGTCGGCCACCGCCAGCGACACCACGAAGTAGTTGGTGACGTTCTGCAGGTTGCTGTTGATCCACACGGCCCAGCACACCAGCACGTTGCCCAGGATGGCCAGCACAGCAATGGCCAGCTCTACCATGATGTATATCCAGGAGCCCATGGTGGGCATGGCCACAGACCGGCAGGCTCAGCAAGGACGCGGGCCGGGCCAGCTCACGGTCCATAGCTGCAGCCCGGCCGCCCGGCCGCCCACCTGGCCCAGGCCCCCAAGCCCCTTCCTGCCAGGGGGCTCTCCAGGGGCGTTTTCACAGACGACTCTGAGTCTCCCAAAACCAAGCCCTCTCCAGGGGCTCCAGTGGTGGCGCCATGGCTCAGCCGGCTTCAGGGTTCCTGAGCACCTGCAAAGGGAGAGCCCGGTAAGAAGCTGAACCACCTGCAGCGGGTGGGCCCAGCAGAAGGCTCCCCACCCCCACCCCATGCCCACCTGACCCCTGGAGGACCCTACTGCTTCAGATCCCACCCACCTGCAGGCTGGGCATCAGCCCGAGGATGATACCCACCCCTTTCCCTGCCTAGTCTGCTATGGTCACTGCCGGGAGGCAGGAGAGTCAGGATTCTGACTCCCACTGCAGAGGACATGGGCCCAGAGAAGTCCCTGAGCAAAGCTGCTTCCCTTGGCCCAGCGGGATTCCTGCCAAGACCCTCACGCAAACCCCTCCCAAGCAGGCAGCCCCTTCTCCCAGGGCCTGCAGGATGAGTGCAAGAGGGACCCATGTGAACAGGGCATGGCCAGGCCCCTGCCAAGAGTCTGGGTCACCCCAGCACTGTCCGAGCCTCCCTGCATTCCCCAACCCTGGACTCAGGATGAGGATCAGCCGCAGTCTCTGTTTGCTTTCTAGGGCAGCAGAGGGTCTCTGCATCAGACGCTCACATTGGCTCCCCATGCTCACCTCTCAAACCTCCCGTGGCAGCCTGGCCCAGTCTCCTGGGTCCTGCACTCCCTGCCAGCCCCACGACCCTCCCTCTCTCCTGGAAAGGCCCCTCACCTCTCGGGCTCTCTCAGTCCCACCCACCTTCTCTCACCGGGCCAGCTTCTTAGCCCCCTATCCCGCTCCACCCACCACGGGCTCTCCTGGGACATACCCGTGCCCACCTAAGAACTGCCCAGTTACAGGACAGGCCGGAGGCCCCTGGAGCTCTGGTCCGCAGGGATCTAGGGAGCCGCCTGTTCCTGTCTTCCACTGCCAGCAGAGGGTAAGTCCTCTCAGGCTGCTCCCGGCCCCGCTGCCTCCAGGTGGCCGTGCCAGCCAGCTGCACATCAGGGCGGGACCGGCGCAGCAGCAGCTGCTCTGAGGGAGCCGCCCTGCCCCCGCTCTCCTCCCACCTGCTCCTCTGCCTGGCTGACACAGGAGTGACTGACTCGAGTTTGCTGCAGGGCAGCGAGCAGGTGCTAAGCCAGGACTCACTGGGGGACTGTGGGCAAGAATGTTTTTCCTTTCTGGGCCTCAGTTTCCTCATTGATACAGTGATGTGGTTGGACCCCAGATGACCTTAGGGGCCATTTTAGCTCCCACTCATGATTCTATGAGAAGGAAATAAACAGATTTGAAATGGTTCCCCCAGAGTCAAAAAACATGTCACATGGCTGGGCACAGTAGCTCACGCCTGTGATCCTAGCACTCTGGGAGGCCAAGGCGGGTGGATCGCTCGAGGTCAGGAGTTCGAAACCAGCCTGAGCAAGAGCGAGACCCCGTCTCTAGTAAAAATAGAAAGAAATTAATTGGCCAACTAAAAATATATAGAAAAAATTAGCCGGGCATGGTGGCGCATGCCTGTAGTCCCAGCTACTCGGGAGGCTGAGGCAGAAGGATTGCTTGAGCCCAGGAGTTTGAGGTTGCTGTGAGCTAGGCTGACGCCACGGCACTCACTCTAGCCTGGGCAGCAGAGTGAGACTCTGTCTCAAAAAAAAAAAAAAAAAAAACATGTTACAGAAACAAAAGGAATTATTGACACCCCTCAGAATTAGAAGTCAGCCTCCCAGCAAGCCTTAGCCCAGCCCAAACCCTGTGTGCCCCTCTGAACTTGTGAAATAGTCTCAGTCCAAGCAACCTCTGCTCACTGAATTGCCTCTCTCTGAGAGCTAAGAGGCCCCCAAATCCACCTCCTTCCAGTCCTGAACCTTCATGGGCAGCAGCCATCGCCTTCCTGGAGACAAGAGGCCCGAGGCTGCCTTTCACGTGGGCTCAGGAAGCCACATCTTTCCTCCAGGATACAAGAGATTGAGCTGGACCAGCAAACTCAGAAGGCCACTCCTGGTCCCTAGCCATGTTCAAGGGTCAGCCCTACCACCCAGTCTACCAGGAAGTGACACAGGGCCAAAGTAATGAACCCCAAGTTTCCTTTTAACTCCGATGCTGCCAGTGCCTTGGATGGCTGGAGCTGGGATGTGCACGGGCTGCAGCCACACCTTTGGGGAGTCCCCTGTGCCCTACACGCCCTTTGCCCCCACTAGTAAGCTTGGTATGGAGCATCCGACACCTGCCAGGGAGCAGGAGGGAAGAGGAGGCCAGAGCCCCTGTGGAAACCGAGGGGTTCGAGCAGCCCGCGGCTGTTGGAGAGGACTGAGTGATACCGAGCCCCCGCTTTGCACGGAGCGGTTGACAGCTAGCCGCTCGCAAAGAGTGTCCCTGGCAGACACAGGCCAGACCAAGTCTCCTGGTGCCTTTCCCAACCACACAGAAGGCACATGGTTGCCCCTCGGTGCTCCTGGCCTGTAGCCCAGAGCAGCATTCACCAGGGGCCCGCCCAACAGGCCCCCATGTAACAGGTACTGGTGGAGCCAACGCCAGACCCAGCCTGCCCCCACCCAGGTGCTGGCCTGTGGCCTCCCAGGCCGGCACCCACAGCAGCAGAAGCAGCCCACTGTCCAGTCAAGCCCAGCGATGCCTCCAGGAGACACCTCTACCCAAGGGGTACTGCCTCTAAACACCAGAGCCTCCTGGCGAGAAGGCAACAACCACCTGACATCCTCTGGGCCCTCTCTATCGGAATCTGCGATGAAGGATGCCAGGACCTTCTGCCAATCTGACCAGCCCAGGCTAGAAGGCTGACACTGTCCCAGACCATCCTCCAGATTCAAGGGTCCTGCTAGGGCAGACACAGCAGGACATACCACGTTTCTGCCAACGTGAGGCAGCCCTGGGGGCTGGCCTGACTACACCAGCCAGGATGCCTGGCTCGGAAGAAGCCTGATCCAGGCCTCTCTTCGGCAAGGCTCTCCCAGCAGCCCTGGGTGCCTGCCTGCATACCCCTAGTTCTTAGGGTCCCCCTGCTGAACAGCACTGGATGCTGACACCCTTCCTGCCTACACTAAAGCCACCTTCCTGCTGTCCACCTGTCTCACTGAGTACAAGAGACCCTCCTGCCAGGCCTGCCTTGTATAGGGCTAAAGACACACCCAAGGATCCCGCTGCCAGGGTCTGCACGGGTGACCTCATTGCACATCCTGCTCCCTCTCCGCCCCTTCCCCCGGCATACCTACAGGCTCTCCCAGCTGCTGCTGCTCCTCAGGCAACCTGGTTACCTGCCAAACCAGAATCCACTCGCTGCTGTCCCCCACCCTCACCCCCAGCCCAAGCAAAGCAGATCGGTGGAGCCAGAGGCACCCCTGGAGCAGGCAGAGGAGGGACGAGGCTGGGAGCACCTCCTGCTGGAGGAGTCTGCAGGGGAATGAGCTACCCAGATATAGGCTGGCAGATCGGCCCGGGGCTTGGGGCACCCTGCCTTATAGCCTTTGCTTGATTTCTGTGGTACAAATGCTCCCACTGTGACAGATTTCAAGCTACTAATGTGTCATTGATGGAACTGGGAAGCAATACACAAAGTCAGCTGGCATCGGGTGCCAGTCACCACTAAGCCACCAAACCCTAGGCTCTCTGAGAGGCTACCTGCCTAGATACCAGGACACCACACCAGACCCTCCAGAATAGCTTGTGCATCCTGCTCAGGAGCTTAGGGAGTGACAGTCATCCGTGATCTCGCTGGCCCCATGACCCCCTTTTACAGACGAGGAAGCTGCGGCCCAAAGAGGCAAGGTGACCACTCTCAGCCTCACCAAGAGCCATGAAGGGTGGCGTAGGCCTGGGGGATGCCCGCAGAAAGCACAGTAGCAGGAGGGCTTCCAGGGCCATCTGGCCCCTCGAAGCTTCCCTCCCTTCCGAAGCCTCCCAGTGACAGGAGGGTCGGAGGCCCGGGAGGGGGTGGGGGCAGGGCCAGGATCTGGCAATTTCCTATCCCTCTCTGTTGGCTCTGTGTATCTAATTAATCCTTGAGTCATCTGTTGCTAGCTGGGAGGGGAAATTAAGTATTAATTGTGATTGTCCCTTGTTGGGGACAGGGCAGAGGGCAGACGCTGTCCCATATAAACTGGGGACACATGCTGTGGAACATGCACGATAAGCCTTGAAAGAACAATCATGTAGGGTTCCTAGCAGTCAGACTCAAAACTGCCACTTCTTCCTGCCTTCCTCCTCACCTCCCCCCCAACCCCGGCACTTTAATTAAAACTCCATTTAATCAAAACCCACACATCTACTGGTCCACTTCTTCTGGCTCCTCGTACGTCAGATTAGCAAGGCTGCCTGTACACATGCCCAGATGGTGGCTGAGACCCCCCAGAGCCTGCTGGACGGAGGTGTCCACTGGCTTCCGGGTAGTGCCCTGCACCCCTGCTCCGGGAGCGGCCGTGGACAACACACAGGGCACCGTGCAGGGACTCAGACCCGTCGAAGCCACACCACGCCTGTTCCCGGGCACCAGAATCCCAGCCTTAGAATCCTCCTGCTACTTTCTCTCTTTTTTCTTTTTCTTTTCTTTTTTGAGACAGAGTCTTGCTCTGTTGCCCAGACTACTAGAGCACAGAGGCATCATCGTAGCTCACTGCAGCCTCGAACTCCCGGGCTCGAGCTACTTCTTCCGAGTAGCTGGGACTACGGGTGTGTGCCACCAGCTAATTTTTCTACTTTTTGTAAAGACAGGGGTCTTGCTATTGCTCAGGCTGGTTCCCTAACTCTTGGCCTCGAGCAATCCTCCCACCTCAGCTTCCTTGAATGAGCCAGCATGCCTGGCCAAAATACTGCTACTTTCTAATAGGAAACATTTACCCAGCACCTACTCCATGCCAGGCAGCATCCCAACTGCTGGACCACAGGGAGCTCTGTGTCCTCTGCTGCTGTGCCCGGCCCTATCTGGGCCCCAATCCTATGGCAGGGGCTCCTCGGAGGAAAGAGCCCAGGAGTTTCAGGTACCTACTGTCACTCCTGTCTCCAGGACCTCAGCTCACACTTCAGGTAAGCTGCAAACCACAATGACAAAGCACAGGAGGAAAATTAAGGCTAAGAAAGATAAGCAACGGTATAAAATATGGAGATTAATTCATCCCTGAAGAAGGAAAGGTACTAGAGCAATCCAATAGTGATTCTTAAAGACATTAGGACCTTTGAAGAGATAAAGAAAGGAATAGCATTTATAAACAACAATGAGAACTTAGGGACCAACTGACAGAAAAGAAACAAGTACAGGTGGATATAAACAAGAAATAATACTGATATAAAATCCAGACATGACGAGCAGGGACTGAAGAACACAAGGGATGTGATGGCCTTCGTGCATGCACCTAGTGGAAGAGGCAGTTGGGGATTTGCGGACGGCACTGAGGAATTCTCACAGAAACCTCACGAAGAGACAACGTGTACGTGGTAACAGCCGAGAGGCACGGAAGGTAGATCAGGAAGCACCAGTGTGTGTCCCCCAGGAGCTCAGCAGGAGCGGGGAGCAGCAGCTGGATGGCATGCATGCCCTCAGCTGGCTCTGCCTGGACTGGTGTTTGGGGTAGCCTGGGCAGGCCTGGGCACAAGCCTTGCAGGACACCAGGCCCCTGGGCCCCACCGAGTCCCTCCCAGCTCATCAGCAGCAGGTGCCTTCGGTGCTGCCTGGAGGTGAGTGACCACAAGCGCTGGCTCCTCTTCCCCCCCTGCTCCAGGGCTGCGCAGCGGCTCCGTGTCAGGCGCAGGCTGAGCCCAGTACCCAGACGCACCTGGCGGTGCCCCTGCCCCCACCGTCCGGGTCATGCGGCTGCCACTCTCTGCTCCTGGGGGCAGGATGTGGGCAGGAATGGGGCAGAGAACCAGCTCCTTGCAGCTGGAGGCGGGGGTACTCAGCAGCCTCCCATCAGCCCCACATCACCAGCCCTGGGGCCGCCTCCGCCTCCCACCACCACCACCCCGGCCCGCAGGGTCTGCCGCAGCTCCCTGCTCCCCACCAGGGCCGGCGTGGGCCCTGCCAGCCCCACGAGTCCAGGCCAGATGCCAGAGGCCCCCAGTCCTCCCCACCTGAGGTGGCTACTCACCCGCTCACATTTGTCTGCACCTGACAGCCCCCTCCAAGGGGCCAGACCTCGCCAGAGGTGCTGGGGGCCGCTCCTGCTCCAGCACATGCTCCCTGGGAGCTGAGCAAGAGGCCCCCTCTGCACACGGCTCCTCGCGCAGACACAGGCTGCGGCGAGATGGCATCACGTGAAAGGCTCAGAACCTGCACCTCCCCCAGATGCCGGATGACGGGTTCTATGCTGCCTGAAGAGGGGACATGGGGAGTTTCTAGATGGCCTTGAGAACAGGGCCCGGGTGGGACGCTGGCAGGAGGCTTGCAGGGGCGGCGCTAGGTGCAGGGCCCCAGGGGCGCCTCTAAGGGCAGCTGTGCTGAGGGTGGGAGGGACCCACTGCTGGGGTCCATGGGGCACAGGTGTGACAATGCAGCCTTGGAGACTGAAGGGAGGTGGGGATCTGGGCCATCGTGGGCACCAAGTGCATCCCCACCCCCGCCCCCATTGGCTCTGGCTTTGCAGAGGCCAGAGGGACCGGAGGTGAATCCCTGCAACAAACGGGCAGACACCTGCAGCCCAGACACCAGAGGAGACAGCTAAGTGGCACCCCTGCCGCTGCCCAGCCAGCCCAGGCAGCTTCTCCTCCAGGTGACAGCAGCTGCCAAAGACCTGAGCAGCAGAGTAGCACACCTGCAGGGGTGGGAGCCATGGAGGGCAGCCCCAAGGCCTGTCAGAGGCCTAAGGTAGTTCTGGAAAGCGGAGTCCCGCCTTTCATGTGTCGGCCTGAAGGGCAGCTGCTCTCCTCTCCATCTGGACCCTGCTCAGCCTCTGGCAGGATCCCAAGCCTTCCAGCTGCAGGGACCCAGAGTCTTCCTCTCTGCCACCAAACTTCCCTTTCCCACCACCCCAAGCCCCAGACCCTGCCCAGGAGGGAGTAGTCCCTGGGGGCTCATCTCCGCATCCCAGCTCCATTCCCTTCCCCCACCAGGGACCGCCCTTAGGCCTGCAGCCCTCTGCTCCTTCACCTCCTCTGAGCAAGTCCCTAGGGCCAACCCCTCCCTTCGGCAGCCCCCAGCACCTCCTGGGGCCAGACCCTCCCCTGGGGGCTGGGGACCCTCCCTTTTGCCAACTTAGCACCTGACTGTGGTGGTCTCTGCTCCGCAGCATCCTGCCACGCACCAAACCCCTTCCCAGCCCACCCTTCCCACTTTGTGCACCCGCCGCCCTGCCCTCTGCTCTCACGCGCGTGCATCTCTCAGGGCCCGGTTTGAGCTGCACCAGCCAAGACAGACCCCACAGAGGCCGGCGGGATGGCAACTCCAGCTCTTCCGGGGCTAAGGAGCTTAGGCAGGTTACAGGGAGGCAGCAAGACCTACTTTGGGACTTCAGGTCACTGCTGAGAGCTACGAGGGCTGTGGTCCCACACACACAGCGGGTGCTGCCCACGCCCACAGGTCCCGGGCTGTGCGAGACGTGATGCCCTGAAGCCCGTGCTTGCTCCCAAGCCACTCCCGTTCACGTGTCCCTCTGCCAACAGCAGCCCCTCGTGGTGCCCCTGGCCCTTGAAACTAACACCCTTCCCCCAGGGTCCCCAGCTCGAGCACAGACCCCGACATGCCTCTGGTCTGTCCTTCCCTACCCTCCAGACAATGCCCGTCTCTCGTCCCCTCTCCACGCTAGGCGTCACCGGGATCATCGTCCTCGTTCTACACATGAGACAACGGATTCCTGGGAGAAGTGGCTTGCCAAGCGAGTGAGCGAGGAGGCAGGGCCAGAACCCAGGTTAGACCATCGAAATCACCCAGCCATTGGGCTTCCCTCGAGGCTGGCCACTGCCTTCTTAGGCTGTGGACTCCCGGGCGTGGGACCCAGGCTGTGCTCCGGAACCTACGCTTCCCAGGCCAGCACTGGGAGAAGCAACTTGCAAGCCCAGAGCGACCAGCCAGCCGGCCCGCCCAAAGTCTGCCTCCTGCCAGACTTGCCCCGGCCACCCCAGCCTCCTTGAGACTGAACAGGGAAGCCCACTCTGCCTGGAACATGGTCACACTGAGGGGACACAGATGGAGGGGTGCTGGCTGGGATCCACCTGAGAAACACTAGGACCCGGGAAAGCCCGAAAGGCGGAACAGTGAGGTGTTGACACCGTGGCCAGTGGACTGGCCTGAGAGGAGCCCCTGCCGGGTATCTGCTTGGACTTGGGGTGGGGGCTGCCCCCAGGCACGCCTCCCCACCCAAGGTCGCCAGGAGCAGCACAGCAGGGCCGCCAGGGCAGCCCCTGCCCCACAGCAGTCCCCCCTGCTGTGCTCCAGGGAGCTCTTTCCAGGGTTCTCGGGACAGGACACCCAGGGGCAGCCCTGGAGGTGGCATGAGGAGTCGCCAGGAGGGTGCAGAGTCTGGGAGTCTAGGGGAGCTGGGCGGCAGAGCAGAGGCAGCCTGAGCTCCGGGCTGAGGGGAGCCTGGGCCCTGTGGGCGCCGCGTCAGATGGGGAAGGAGAGCTGGCTAGAGCGGGCAGCCCTCACCCCAAGGGCCAAGAGAACACCTGCTCCTCTCCCGGGGTCCCAGCTCCCCCGCCCAGGTGCAGCCCTGGCTCTCTCCTTCCCATTGCACAGTCGGGGAAACTAAAGTCTCAGTGGGATCGCTGGGATCTCCGCTCCGCCGGCCGGCGGCCCTCCTCGAGCTCTTGGGCCGTCCTGCGCCAAATCCCTCGAGAGCCGCCACCATTCCCGCCGTTCCCACCTCTGCTGTGGCAGCCAGCCGGACGGTCCGAGACGCGCAGCCAGCCGCCTGTTCCCCGGCCTCTGCTGGGTCCCCTAAAGCCCAGTTCCCGCCAGACTCTCCTTTCTCACCGCGCCCCAGGCGCTCGCGTGCGGAGCCTCAGCTCCCGCCGCGCCCTCCGCGAGTGCCGGTCCGCCCGGGTCCGCCACCTGGAGAAGTCCTCGCTCGCGCGGGGCCCGGATCTGCCCGCCCTCGGGCCGCGCCTCTGCGCCCCCAGCCCAGCCCCGGTCGGGGCGAGACGGAGGGTTCACCCGAGCGCGCAGGGCCGGTGCACGGCGCCCGGACGGACCGACGGTCGCTCCCCGCCCAGTGCCTGCGGGTCCGGACGCCTCCCCGCAGCCCCCGCCGCCGTGCACCTTCCGGCCCGTCTGGGGCGCCTCGGAGGGTCCGCACGCCGCCCCCCGGCTGGGCTTTCGGGGCGACCGAGCCTGAGCCGCCCTGCACAGGCCACTCCGCGGCCGCCACGGGCAGGGCTCGACCCGGACGCCGGTGCGCTCGCTCTCGGGCGGCGGGAAGAGGGGTGGGAGCGGGGGCGCCCGGAGGCGAGGGGACCCGACCTCCCGGCCCGGAGCCCAGACGGCCCCACGCCGCCTGGCCGCCCGCCCAGGACCCCCGGCACCCCGGGACCCCGGCTGACCTGCCCGCGGCTCGCGCGCCGGCTCCCGCTGTCTCGGCGTCGCTGGGGCTCGGGCTCCCGCCGCGCCGCTCGCGCGCGCCCCCTGCAGGCGGCTCCCAGCCCGCGCTGCCCCCGCCCCGCCCCGCCGCGCGGGGAAACCGAGGCCCCCGACGCTGGCGGACGACCAGAGGCGCCGTCCGCGAGGCCCACCGACGTCCCCGGCAGCGCGAGGCCGTGACGGGCCTGGGCCGCGCCGCGCCCCCCGCCCGCGCCCCCCGGCGCGGCCCTCCCGGCTCGCGTGCGTGCGGGCCGCCGCCTCCAGCGCCACACCCTCCCTGTCCCGAGTCTCGGCCGGAGTCCCTCCCTGCCCTTTGAAGCCCTCCGGTCCCACCTCGCTCCAAGAAGTCCCCAGGCCGCCTCCGCTGTTTCTTGTCCGAGCCGGGCTGGATGTGGCCCCTGCGCCTCCCTCCCCAGAGCCCTGCTGCGCCCGGGAAGCCCCGGTGCCCGCTCCTCCCGTCTTTCCGCGGCCCCCAGTTTCCGAAGGCGAAGCCCAGCCCCGCCGCAGCGCTCACGCCCGCCTGGCCCTCGCCCCGCCGCCCCCACCCGCCTTTCCTGAGCCTTGCCCGGGGCTGCTGCTGGTGGCTGGAACTGAGCTCGCAGGATGCCTCCTGGAAGCTGGTCCCAACTTCCAGTGCCCCTCTGCTCTTCCATCCCGGACCTTGAGCCAGGGACCCTGGTGTCCCCACAGCCCTGTGCCCTGTGTGGCCCTGGTCCTCCCTCCCCCCTTCTCTGAACAGGAAGGTGGGGAATCGTCTCTGCACCCCAGACTAACAGAATCTCAGACTCTGGGGCCGGGAATTTCCTCCCCACGGCCCATCCCCCCATCTTCTGGAGGCTTCTAGTTGGGGACGACCTCACATCCAGCCCCAGCGCAGCCATGCAAAAGGGACTCCCCTTCGACCCTGCATCTGGTTGGATGTGGACTAACCTAACTAACCCCAGTTTTGTTCCCAGCAGGAAGGCTGAGTCAGATGGCCAGAGCATTGGTGGCCAAGGGCTGGCAGGAACTCTTGCATTCTAGAAACTCCCGAGACTGGCCAGGTTGAGACTAGAGGCCCAGGGTGGAGGGGCTTGCCAGGGCCAGCTGGACCCTAAGGCTGAGGCCAGGACGGGGGCATGACCTCTCCCACAGCAGCCGCCACTCTGCAGGGAGGAGAGGGTGGGTGTGGCTGGTGGATGCGCAGGCTCCTGGCCAGCATGTCGGGAGGAGCCCAGAGCCGGTGTGGTGGCCAGCACTTGCCTAGACCCGGCCTTGATCTTGATCGTCTTGCAGCCTCCCTGTTTCACCCCTGGGGCCAAAGCTGGGGCTGCTGTCTCAATTTGGCCAGCCTGGCCCAGCGCCAGGCAGAGGAGAGTTGGGAACCAGACAACTAAACTCCCGGGGGTGAGGCCCACATGAGACTCTAGGGGTGCTGGCGACCTGCGCCCTGTCCCAGATGCCTTTCCAACCTCAGACCCCCCAACCCCTGCGGGCCTGTAGCCCCCTCACCTCCCCCCAGTCCTGGCCCTGGCTGAGCCACTGCTCGGAGGAGCTCGCCTGCCCCATTCTCCCACAGCCCTTGCTGTCCTCAGGGAGGGAGCTCCTCCCGCCAGGTGGGGACAATGCCCCTGGGACCAGCCGCTGGGGCTGCCCTGGTGCTGTGGCTTTTCCGTGGGCCTTCAAGCGACCCGTTTCCTCACCTGTAAAATGAGACTGTCCTGTTTCTGCACTGCCACGTCCTAGAGCTAAGCTAGAGCCAGACCGAGGTACGGCCTGCGCTGCCCGGCCAGGGAGCCTCCCCCTGGTCCTTGAGGCCCCAGCCTTCTTTCTGGGCCACCCCTTGCGGCACGCTCCTTCCACAGTGGGGACAGACCCTCCTGCCCACACCTGTCGGATGCACGTTCACTTGAGTCCTCACTCTACAAACGTGCAAGGAGCACCCCGTCTTGAGAGTTGCCCTGAGGGGCCGTGGGGACGCGTGAGGCAGAATGCGGCATGCGGCCAATTCTGGGTCTCTTGCCCCTAACCTCATGACCGACGTGTGGACCCCACTGATTCTCCCTCCGCTGCTCTCCCCAGCACCCGCCCCGCCCGGACCTCCCCACACGGGTCTGGCCGGGCGCTCACCAGGCTGGTCCAGGGAGCGGAGGTTCGCTCCAGAGCTGGTCCTCGGGGCCCCAGCGCCAAAGCCCTCCCGGTTCACCCTGGGGGTTCAGCGGGCGGTTCCCCCATTCCTGGGCACTAGCGCCCAGCGTGGGGGAGCCGAGTCCTGAGGCAGGGCTGGTCGGCAGGGCCCCAGGGCCCCAGCACCACCCATGAGGAACCAGCACCAAGGAGGCTGTGAGGGGCAGCCGGGCCAGGCTCCTTCCCTGCCAGGGACCCCTCCCCAGCCTGTTAGAGGCAGAGGGCGTGCTGCCAGTGGTCCTGTGCCACCTGTCAGGTGCGCTGGCCCGAGTCTCCAGGGAAGCCGTTGCCCAGAGACTGAGCACACGCCAGGGCCGTGCAGCTCAACGGCCACGGGCACGGCACGTGGGGCGCTGTCCAGCAGCTGCCTGCCCCAGGAGTTGCCCCGTGTCTTCTCGAGCCAGGGGCCTGTGCTCTGGGAACCGCAAGCTGTAAGGCCACCTCCTCCGCCTTGGCCTTGCTGCCCCTGGCCATCCCTGTGCCACCCCCAGCCACCAGAGCTCTCCTGGGGCTCTGGCCTGGGGCGGGGGGGCAGCCCCTGTGCAGGTGCCTGGGCCGGGCCACCCTCCACGCCTGAGGGAGCTACGGGGCTGAGAGGCAGGCCTGTTCTGAACGAGACCACTGCCCCTCAGCACCTGCAGGCCTAGCTTCCAACGCTGGGCCTTGGTTTCCCTGCCCAGCCCCAGGCAGGCTTTGGGAGGGTTGTGAGCACCCACGCTTCCATCCAGGCCCAGACTCCTCAGGCCAGGCCGTGGGGCCAGCTGGGCCCATCCTGCCCCAGAGCTCCACTCTTAGGCTGCCCAGCCCGCCCCAGCCCTGCCAGCCCTTTGTTCCTGCCCAGGATGCATCTGGGTGGCCTCTGGCCCCCATTGTTTGCTTTGGGGCCAGCTGAGCTACATCAGAGAGACAGGCCAGGCTCAGGCCCACACAGCTGTGATTGCTAGGAAGGGTCCCTGGGAACCAACCAGGCCGCTGCGAGGTGCTGCCCAACCTCTCCAGTGGCAGGTGGGGAGGCCTCACAGGGCTCTACTCATCCTCAGACTAAAGCAGGCCCCACGAAGGCGGCATCAGGCTAGAGGAGGCGTTCCTGAGTCACCGCAGCCATCACCGCTGCACGGGCAGCCCCTGGCCTCCAACGTAGCCCCCAGGAAGACGTCGAGTCTGCATCTGAGTCTTGAGACAAACAGCCACTCGCTTGCAACCCGTCTCAGGGCTGACCTGGGCGTCAGTGCAGATGGGGAAACGGCTCCATGGGGAGTCCTGGCTCCGTGGTGGGCAGTGAAAGCCCTTTGCAGCCCCTCCTGCCAGGGCTTGTCATCTGCCACCACCGACGCTGGCCCTAAGCGCCGTCCCCATGCTCCCTGTGCCCCCAGCCCTGTGACAGCCAGGCAGCCAGGCCTCCCTATCCCACATCAGAGAGGGTGCCTGGCAGGACAGTCCAGGAGGGGTCCTCACTCCACAGAGGTGGGAACAGCCCCAGCGTCCCAAGTGTTGGTGGCTGACCTGGGGGAAGGACCCAGGTGTCCCAACTCCCTGTCCATGCTCTTCTGGGCAGAAGCCTTGGGTGTGATGCCACTCTGTGGTGGCCCATCTTTCTCCTCTGTGCACGTGTACTTCCGATGAGCATCCGTCCGGCCCTCCAGGTCCTGCCTCCTCCTAGGACTCAGCTCTCAAGCCTGCAAGCCCTGCCTGTCCCTCCCCACGCACCCGGGGGCGGGGACAAGGACTAGCCCTTCCTTCCTGCACCTGCTCCGGGCAGATGAGGGCAGGCAGGCTGTGCCAACCTCACTCCACACACTCTGACCCAGCCCCCCGTCTGAGGGAGCCCCTGGCGCGCCCCGGTCTGAGGGAGGCGACTCAGCCCCAGGGAGGTGGAGTCCGGCCGCCTGCAGACGCAACAGCCGCAGCCCAGCGAATCTGGCCAGAATCCAGGGCCCTAAACCCCAGCTCCCCAGGAATCCGCCCCTCACCCACCTGACGTGGTGGCTGCAAGCGTGTTGAGACCAGTTATGTCTGTCCCTGTTCTTCACTTAGGGGACAACCCAAAATAGAGCCCAGGGCAACCTGAGGCTTGGAGAGGTGCAGGCTGTGGGGATGGGGCTGTGGAGTTGGCCTCCCAAGCTGGCTGGGGTGGGGCACAGGTGCAGATGGAGGATCAGTTTCCTCTGCCCACCCATCAAAGCTGCCCCTCAGACACTCTGGAATCTTCCCTTAGTCAAGGTGGAACTGAGGTCCTCCCCAGGTGCCGCCCTGAGGGAAGCAGAGCCCTTGTGCTCACCCGCCAGCCTCTGAGCAGGTTGGTAAGTGGGGCTACAGAAGGGCCAGGAGCCTCAGTCGCCCAGGGCTCCCCCACCCCCACCCCCGGACAGCAGCTGAGGGCCGGGCCTTACCGCCCCAGGGGCAGGGCCCTCCCTCCTCCTGGCCCGTGGAGGCTGCACCTCGGTGCCACTGCACAGGCCTGCCGCGCAGGGCCCTCCACGTGGCAGAGGACGCGAACGCAGTGTCGAGGAGCTGGAGCCAAACCCGGTCCCAGCAAAGCCTCGGCCGTGCCACTGCTGGAGGGGCCAGCACTCACGGGACCCAGCTCGCCTCAGGCCAGGTGGGCTCTCGGCCCCTGGGAGCCAGGCAGTGGCTGGACCTGACACCGGGAGGCTCAGGCCCAGTGAGGGTGCTCGCCAAGCCTCCCTGTGAGCAGGGGACAGTGCCCCAGAGGTGACAAGACAGTGTCATCTGGGCCATGCTCAGTGGATTTACACAAGGTACACAGGAAGAAAAAGGCTTAACTGATCTCTTAACTAATTGATATTGTTTTTGCTTCTCCACAATTTTATATATCCTGAAAATTATCTCCAAGAAGACACAACACTTCTAATGACAGACAAACCCCTCCATAAGTCTGCCCGCCCCCCGGGAAGGCACATTCTGGGCTACGCTGGGGGCTCTGATGCTGCTCCTCGGGTCTCGGCACCTGTCACAGAATCTCAGCAGTCACGGGGCTCACCTGGGTCACCCCCAGGCTCAGGAGGTGGTGCAAGCTCTGGCTTACGTGACATCAGAGGGACGGGGGAAGGGCAAACTAGAAAAGCCCACGCCTGTTGTGTTTTAGCCATTTTAATAGATTCAATAATATTTACTAGAACAAAATTACAAAGTATGGTCAGTCAGCAGAAGCCTGCGATCGAGAAATAGAAACATGACTGGCCCTTTTGCAGAGAAGCTTGTGCTTGAAGGGGGAAGAGGCCCCGTGCCCGGTGCCTGGAGCAGGAGCAGGAGCCCCCTCCCAACAGCACCAGGCACACAGCCGGCCACAGTCGCTCCGGAAGCCCACTGTCGTGAGGGTCCTATTTGAAAAGACAGAAAGTAATGCTTCCGGCACACCCCGAGGACCAATGCAAACCCCCATGGGGAGGGCGGCTCCAGCGGGCGCAGCCAGGCCTCCCTGTGCCACTGTCCTTCCCCGGCACTGACCCCAGGGCCTGATGTTGATGCTGGACCCATGGGAGTCCCAGAAAGGAAATGCCATCCATGCAGATACAGCCCATCAGCAGTGGCCGCCTTCTTCCAGAAGATTCCAGTGACCCCTCACCCCACTGCATGAGCTGCCAAGGCTGGGCTCCCAAGGCCGGCAAGAGACAACGTTGTGAACTCAGACCCAGGAAAGTCCTCTCATTCAAAGACAAAACACCCCCACCCAGGACATAATAAATAAACAAAAGTGTGACCAGACACCCTGGGTCCAGACAGGTGGACAGGCCTCCTTGAAGGCAAATGAGAGCAAAAGTGAGAACTTAGGACACCTAAGTGGAGAGACATCTGAAAATGACTCTCACACAGTCAGGCACTGGTGGCGACAGCACGGTGTCAACAGAGCGGTGGGAACAAAAATAGAGCGGGGCTGGGGAGGGCAGGGCCCAACGCTGTGGAGCTGTTGTCTGCGGGGTCTTCCAGGGTGCTCTGCAGCCTGACTTTGCTCGCGTGACCTCTCCTTTAGCCAAAAACAAGCATTTCACCAAAGCACTTCTGGCCAGGGGCAGCAGCCGAGCTGCCAGGTTAACATGGGGGCAGGGCTGTGGGCAGCTACTGGCTAGCTGTGCCGGCAGCCACACCCAGGGCCCAGCCCTCGTCGTAACAACCACATTCTTTTCTGGGCTGCACAGATGTGTCAAACTCCTAGTCTAGAACATCATGCTTGAATGAAGACCCCAGCCCACGGTGGGCTGGGTGGGCCTCCTGGGAGCCCCTTTCCTTTCACCCAGCCCGTGGTGCAGCGCCCTGCTTCCCTGCTGGCCAGCCTTCCACATGGTGCTTTGCAGGGCCAAACACAGCTGCGCGCCGGAAATTGTCAGTCTTGACAGTGTTCAAACCGGCAGCTACCGTGTTAGGCACACATGAGACAGAGGCTCCCTGTTCCCAAAAAGGGCTGTTAAGTGCCAGCCTGAATGTTGTGTCAACAGACCGCCTCTACATAAGGCTTTGGTTCAAACAGCGTGGACCTAGAAGCTGGGAGGGCAGTACCCTGACGCCACCCTGCCCTGGCCGTGGAGGGCAGCCGGCCACCCTACAAGGAGAGTTAAGGCACTTTCTTAAACTCTTGCCTAAGGGGATCGTGTCTCAGTGACTCGGAAGTAACGCTGTCTGGGCTCCCTAAAGTTGTTTACTTTTTTCTCCTGCTACTCCCTACTTCATTTCTTGCTCTTGCCATACTAATGTCCAGATTTTGCATTTCTATGCTTATAAAACAATTTAACTTTGGTACTAACAGAACAGCAGCTATTTTTCCCCAATATCGTGCATAACAAAACAAAAATTTTAACTAGGAGAATTCCTTATGACCAATTCTTTTGTCCAGAAGCCTAAAGCTAGAGCTGGGGCTCCAACCGCTTCCCGGCTGGAGGGCAGGTCGCAGAGCACCAGAGGGGACTCTGCAACCGCGTCCTGCCGCGAGCAGCCCAGCCGCGGGAACTCGGCAGCAGGAAGCCCCGAGCGCCAGAACGCCTGCGCGGTGCTGTCTGGATGCTCTTAGCCCCAGCTGACAACGCCTCAATCGCACTGGCCAGGACGGCCCTGTCACGTGGGAGGGGTGGCCAATCCACTTCTCTGGTGTGTGCTCCTCGAAACCAGGCCCCAGTAAAGGGCCACGAGCGCTGGGAAACAGCAGCCTCTGCTGGGCACTGGCTTTCTTCCTTGGTCCTCACCGGCGATGGAACCTACACCAGCCGACGGCTGAGCAGCGCCGTGGCCAGAGCTTTCAGCAAGGCTGTCAGTTTCCCACACAATTTAATCCCTTCTCCCGAGTTCTGCAGGAGCCTTTCGTGCACCCCAGGCACTGATACCGGGCAGTGCTCGCTTCAGAAGGAGCTCCAGCAGCCAGCCGGCCTGCGTGGCGAGCTGAGCGCACACAGCCTGAGCGGAAGGTCACGTGGGAGGAGCCCTGGCCCGAGCTCAGGCCACATGGCCGAGTTCTCCCGAAGCGGAGGCCCCAGGCTGGAGGCTCACACGCTGGGGCAGCCAGAGTCGCGGGAAGCTGTGTGGGGTGCGTGGCTAGTGGCGTCGGTGTTGCTCGGTGTCTGTGCAGGGTCCCCCAGCGGCCGGGCAGCTCCTACGTGCGCTCAGGTTTCAAAGTACTTGTAGATCGCTGTCACGTACAGCATCACGTTTTGCCAGTCGGGCCGTTCAGTCCGTACCATTTCATTAATGTCCTAAAGAGAAGGGAGAAGCCTGGTTAGAACAGCAGGTCACCTCCTGGTGGCCCAACAGGCTCCTTGCCGCAGTGGTATGGGGTCCGGGCGTTGGACAGGCCTTGAAGGCTTTCTAGTCTAAGCATGATCGCCTCAAAGACCCGGCAAGAACGCCTGCTCCGTCCCCACCAAGTTCCCCTGGGAGGTGCCCCTCCCTGGGCGTCAGCATCGTCCCCGAGGCTACTGCTGCCCCGGAACCAAATGCAGGGCCACCTCCCTGCTCCCCCGACAGAGCTAGGAGGGTTTCAGCCCCAGGCCCAGCTTGGGAGAACCCCCGAACCAACTCTCTGATGACCTTCACCAAGCAAACCTGAAACCATCGAAGACACTGTTCTTCAACTGTGCCTTGGTATCGTAGGAAAATGAACTTGAGAAACTGTGGCCCCTACCCCACCCTGGTGTCTCAGAGCCTTTAACATGAGACCGAGGCCTCAGAGACACGCAGCTGCTGGACAGCGCCGGCAGTGCCCGAGGGGCCGGCCCGGGATCGTCCGTGGGCGAGGAGGCAGACGTGCGGCGCAGCGCGGGAGGGCGCCCTTGGCGACCAGCACGGGAACCCTGCTTGTTCACGGCAAGAATCCGGACTGTGAACGTTTTCTAGGGTGGGGAGCTGCTCACTTTTTATACATGAGAACTTTACACATGTGATGGGAAAATGTTTTAACTTGTTTTTCCCTGTACAGTTGAACAGAGCCTACCCTAAAAAAGCAAACTTCTATGAATTTAGAAGACATGCTTGGGGCATGACTCTCCTGTGGTCGCTGTAAATACGAGTGTAATACTCTGATGCAGCGAGTCCGGGTGGGGGTGCCGGGCATGGGAGGTGACCCTGCAGGGCTGTGCAGGATGCTGCCGTTCTCAGCTCGCTTAATGAAAGCGTCTCTAGGTGTGGCACCGTGGCTTGGGACTTGGCTGCAGCATTTTCTGCCACCCAGTCAGGCTTGGTGGGGACAGAAGTCTGTCTGTGAGGCTGGCAGGGGCCGCGCAGAGGCTGAGGAAGGGCCCAGGAACATGGGTCCACAGCCCCCAGGAGCGAGGGCAGGAAACTCTTGTTCGGCCTCTCAGGCCACCCCGCCCTCTCCCTCTGGACTGACAAAAGGCAGACAGACCCTCAGCAATGTGCCTCTGACAGCGACATTCACAAACGTGACATTTTTCTTCTGACCCGAAGGACCGGTTTATGGAAGAGACCACCGTGAGGAGCAGTCCCGTGTCAGGTCTGCCAGGCCCGGGCTCACACGCCCCGTCCTGTGGGGTGTGTCCGTGGGCATACACTGCCAGGGCACAGGGCGAGATCTGTGTCTGCACCCCACCTGGACAGGATCCTCCCCAGGCCCAGCCCACCCAGGAACCACGGCACCCAGCGACCACACGGTTTCAGCTTAAAACAGACAAAGCTTTTCAGGGAACGGGACTCACCAGTGTGGATTTGATGCCAACACTTTCAGCCGCCTGGAAAGCCAGAGTGAAGTTCCTCCTCTGTAAAAGAAAACGTGTCAGCAGTGCATGCACAACACAAGGAGAAGGGTCCCGTGGCCCCCACAAGCTGCCTGGTGAAGACGCACCTGAAGGATGACAGCCACCTCCACCTGGCACAGGTCCCTGTCCACTCCCCTCTCCCAACACTCATTCTTCCCTCACTACAGGAAAGGCTCATTCCTGACACATCCACGCCAAGCCTCCTGGACACACACCCCAGAAGTTAGCAAACACCTGCCAAATGAATCCCCTGGGGGGTTTTCTGGGTTGTTTGCAGGGCAGGGGCTCTGGGTCGTCCCCTGATGCGGTCCCCAAGGAGCTTTCTGAATGGCACACCTCAAACGGTGGCGTGGGAGTGCACAGGGCTGGTGTTTCTCACCCATTCTGAGGCCCACAGTGCAGAATGGGCGCTGCAGGGTAGGGGCAAGCCTGGTTGGTGCTGCCTGACTGCTCTTGCCTTGAACAGCTCCCTCCTCAGCCACTTCCTGGTGAAGCCCTTGATCCTAAATATTGTCACCCAGGAAGGACTGGCTGCTCTGACTGGGAATGACATCACGTGGGGAACTCTGCACAGGCCAAATGTTCCACACAGTGGGCCAGGACTGGTGGGTTCACACCAAAGTAAGAGGGAGCTGGAGTGAGGTGCTCCAGCCAGTGCTGTGGCATGACCTGTGATGGAAGGCACTGACTGACCCTCACGCTCACCGTCTCCCCTGCAGCAAGGTGGACGCCAGGAGCCGGCCCTTCCAGAGCCTGCCTTACCTTATCTTGGCTGTTCAGCTCCTGATATGGAATGTGGGCTGGCAGATACGTGTGCAAGAGGGCACAGAAGGCCAGCCCGTCGTTCCAGCTGCTGCTGAAGTTGGTGATGTCAATGTTCTGAAAGAAAGGAAGAAAAACACATGAGCAACGCACAGGGTGATGCTCTCAGGAGATGCCAGGGAGGACGGAGAAGCTCTCAGATGCCACATGGCCTCCAAAACACAAACCAAACCACAGCATTTTGGGGGCTAACCTGGTGTCTGTGACTTCCCTACCCATCCCACCCAGCTGCAGGCTGATGCCCCTGAATGGTCATACTTGGGCCTGGTGCCACACATGGTGTCTGTGACATGATTTATAAACTGCTTCAGACATGGAGAGGCCTCCACGCTGCTGAGCCTGCTCTCTACCACAACCTGCTGGGGTGACAGCACAGACTGGAAGATATGGTGACATCCAATGACCTTTAAAGAACCATTTATTAAAATGCAACTTATTCTCCATTGTTTACTAAAGCACTTAAAAGATCCCTAAGTCAGTGTGGATCTCAAAGTGTGTCTGCACGTGAAGATACCATCTGCCCTTTTCACTGTGCCATGGTCTGACGGTGAAAAGCCAAGGAGAGTCACACTGCAGCCCCCTGAGCCCCCCGGTTAAGGCCTTGGTGCCACATACACTGGTGATCACTGTAGTTTTCACCACCATACACTCATGGTTAAAAAATAATGAAATGACCAACCTGAACAAGAGTGAGACCCTGTCTCCACAAAAATTAGGAAAATTAGCCGGGTGTGGTGGTGCTGGCCTGCAGTCCCAGTTACTAGGTAAGCTGAGGTAGGAGGACAGCTTGAAGGAGTTTGAGGTTGCAGTGGGCTATGATGATGCCACTGCACTCCAGCCTGGGCAACAGAGTGAGATACTGTCTCAAAATAATAATAATAATGATAAAATTTTAAAATACAAGTTTTTCTTTAAAAAATGTCTTTGATGAGGCAGGTAGAATTTATTGATTTAATTAAATGCCTCAATGCCCTGTGCATACATCTCATCAGTGTCCAGTATGGGGAAGGGGAACGTGCACACGGGGTTCCCCAGCCCCACGGGCCATGGCGTCAGCTCCGCTGGGGAGAGGAGCGCTGGGGAGGAGGAGGGCTGTCCTGTGTTAAGAAGAGTCATGACTCAGCTTGACCTCTGTGATCAGGGACTGTAAGCAAAGAACTGAGGTACATCATAAACCCTCTACGATTTGCTGCAACTTAAGGTGGCACACACACCTGTAGTCTCAGCTACTCAGGAGGCTGAGGTGGGAGGATCTCTTGAACCCAGGGTTTTGAGGCTACAGTGAGCTCTGATGGTGCCACTGCACTCCAGCCTGGGCAACAGGGTGAGACCTCAGGTCTTAAAAAAAGAAAAAAAAGAGGCAATAATAAAACAAACACCTCTGCAATTTACAGATGTCTCTATTTGACAATTGCCATCTTGCATGAGGAGCCAATTAAGGCTGGGCTGTGTGTTCTCCATACCACACCTCTCAGGGAATCTTCTCGACTTTAAGGAGCACCTCATTCTGTATTTAAATTACAGGTGATTTGCAGTTACAAAAGGAATGTATCATTCAGAATAATTTTTTTTTTTTGAGACAGAGTCTCGCTCTGTTGCCCAGGCTAGAGTGAGTGCCGTGACGTCAGCCTAGCTCACAGCAACCTCAAACTCCTAGGCTCAAGCGATCCTCCTGCCTCAGCCTCCTGAGTAGCTGGGACTACAGGCATGTGCCACCATGCCCAGCTAATTTATTAGTTGGCCAATTAATTTCTTTCTATTTTTAGTAGAGACAGGGTCTCGCTCTTGCTCAGGCTGGTTCTGAACTCCTGACCTCGAGCAATCTGCCCGCCTCGGCCTCCCAGAGAGCTAGGACTACAGGCGTGAGCCACCTCGCCCAGCCTCATTCAGAATAGTTTTTATGCTACTGCAACTCAGCTGATATGTAGCCTTTACCCTTATTTGCAAGAATCCTTTTGTAAGATGAATCTACATGTTAAAATTTTGCTAATCCACACACTTTATGTAGATGCCACCGGGTGAAGAACACTTCCCCACACTTCTTGCTTCACATCTTCCTGTTTATTTCATACCTCCTTTAACTGCATGGAGAGTAAGCTTTCTAGGTGGCTGAGAAAGCCCACATTTTATTTTTTACGGCAAACGGCCCAGCTTCCCGGCAGCATTTCTCTCCCCTCCCAGGAATGAGTGATTCACAAAGCACTTTACCAAGTGGGGAGACCTGCAGCTCAGAGACAAAGGCAAGTGGGGATGGTGGGGAATGAGCCTCAGAGCTGCCAGGGTCAGTCTGTGCAACCAGTGAGGGCCAGACCAGGCCAGGTGCCCCGCACCCTGTGGTCTGGCCTGGCAGCTCCAAGTGGCCTCACAGACTAGCAGGCCACATGGAGCAGCAGGAGGCTGACTTCTCATCAGCTGCATCCTCCAAACCTATTTTCTGGCCCCTGACTGCTCATGCTCAGAACGCTGCCCTCTAGGGGCTGCTACTCAAAGCACGAGCTGAGAAGTTACTTCCCTAAGTCATGTCCTCCCGTTAACCTGATCATCTGCTGCTCCCTGCTGTGACCTTATTATAAGCTGCTGTGCAAAAGGTGACTGGATTAAGGCACAAAGGGATGAAAACCTGCCGGGAGGTAGAGGGAAGGTGGCAACAAGCTTGCCATGGCTGGTATGCTGCGTCTGCTGACGTCAGGGCTCCCAAAACGCCTGGCCAGGACGGCACCCTCTCTGCCTCAGCACCGCCGTCCTCAGACTTCCCCGCCAGGAAGGCACAGTCCAGAGAGTAAGACCTGCTACATCTCCAAGAGGCATGGGCTGCCCTTCCTGAGGGTCTCTGTCTGGCGAGTTAACAGTCACCACCCCTGCAGGGTTCTGAGGATCTTGTGAAGGTGCCTTGCAACAAACGTGCTAGCAGTTATTGCTGGCCGGGGCCACCCCCCCAACACACACACACACACCCAGCCCCTTTTATCTTATCTCAATCTCAGGAAGCAGCCAACTGGGCGGTCAGTTCCATAGGGGGAAATTAGGACCAGGGAGAAGTGCCTGGCCACGGCAGGGAAGATGGGACAGAAGCTCTACCTCCGGCGTCCTGTGAGCAGTATAGCACTTCAATCCTCACAGTCACCTTGGAGCAGCTGGAAGGAGGCTGAGCCTCAGGAAGGCCAGGACACCCGCCCAGGCCACACAGCCGACCTGTGGGCTTGTTCAAAGTCAAATCTGCCCCTCACAGAAGCACTGGCCTGCTTTCCCTTAGGTGTTCAGGTGAGACGTCCTAATGCTCCACGCAAAGCTCCATCTCCACCGCTGGGTGCAGGGAGAGGCAGGAATGAAGTATGCGAAGCAGATGAAGAACGGGCCAGGCCTGATACCCTACATCATTTCCAGGGCCCAGCACAGAATGAAAATGCAGAGCCCTTTGTTCAAAATGCAGAGGAAAAAGTCTATTAAAGGGACTTAAGAAAAAAAGGCCAGGTCTCAGGCCCAAGTGCGTGATGTAGGAGCCAAGGATGCCGGGGATCCCTGCACGGAGAGGGCCAGGAAGCTTCCCACTAACGTGCGGAACTCTGTGCAAGGCCAGTGGCAGCATCTTACCGCCAGAGGTCACGTTCACTTCTGGAGGAAAACAAACCTCCACTTCCTGCCATGGCCGCCCCTTCTGCTCCCTCAAACGCAGCAGGGCCGCGGACGTGCCTGGTCTCACTGCTCGGCGCCCTGAGGCACAGGCTCCTGTGTTCCCAGCTGCCCAGCTGTGGGAACCTCGGCTTCCTCAAGACAAACTTAACACTCCACTGGGGAGGCGCTGCTGCACCCCCACCCCCACCCCAGCCTGCCTGAGACTTCATTCACAAAACATGCCAGCTACGTGAACCAAAAGAAAAACAATGGCTCCTTGAGTTCCAGGCTAGGGGGAGTTAACATTTGAGTAACTTACAACCAAATTTTCAAATCAAAACTAAAGCCCAAACCAAGGCAGGCTGGCAGGTGTCACCACCTCCTTTAACCTGCAGTGGGTGGTGGGGAGCCAGACCAGGTGACCCCACCCCCAGGACACCCGACACGCTAAGCTGGGGCCCATAAGTAGCGAAACCAAATAAAACCCGAGCACACACTCACTCGTCTGCTTCCTACCCTCCATCCAAAGAGACCCTATGGGGAAAATGAGGCAGGCTTTGAAACAGGGGTGATCCCATGAAAGTGGGGCAGAAGCTTACAGCCCAAAAGAACAGGCCCTCTGCTCCCAATCCCACCAGCTGCTTCATTGTTTGTAACATTCAGGGTGAAAGTCTAATAAAATGAAACAATGTCGACTAAAGATATAAAGGCCTACAAACAACAAAGCTGGTTTTCTAGAAAGCTGGCACAGGAAGGCGGGAGAATCTGCTCTGATCTCCTCCCTGGAGCTCCTTGTTAAATGGCTGTGACAGCTCAGTCATATTAGGAGGTATCTTGAAGAAGTACACGGAAAGGTACAAAATCATACTGAATCACCGGGGAAAGAGCTTCTCCCTTCCCCATCCAATGAAGACCCCTTGTTTGGTAGCCAGCACCCGGTGAGGGACCCTGCACACTGCCACCCACCAGGCACGGCCACACGGGTGACCTGCCAGCTGTTCCCAAACCAAACGTGAGCCACGGACCACGAATGGGCTCTAGGCTGCCCGGAGAGAGCAGGGATGGGTGGAAGATCCTGAGGCCTTCATCGTTCAGCTAAAGGTGGCTTGCACCAGGCCTGACGCTTCCTGGGCACATGACCCGGGCTCGGTCGGGTTCTGTAAGGTGGACGTGCAAACCTTGGCCCACACAAGTTGAGCCATCAACCTGCTGTGAAACTGTGATATGCTCTGCACATGTAAAGGATTTTAGGGCTCTATTTACTTATTGCAGGGAAAACTGGTACCAGATGGCACCAGGCCAGCTCAAGACACCAACAGGATCACCAAGAACGTGCCTAGGCCACTCCTTCCCTTACTACAGCCCCACTCCTGGGTGCAGGGCCACAGTTGCATTGACCATCATGGTACGCCTGTGACTTGTGAACCTCTACCTGCCTTCATGTG